TATAAGTTTATATATTTTAATTACATATACTATTGTGACCTGACAAGTAGTAAGATGAAATCTTTCTTCATTGATGATCTTCATTCTATAATAATGCTGATGTCTTTGTCATCTGATAATTTGTGAAGAATACTAAAATTCTCATTGAGCTGTGTTAATTTGTACGAAGATTGCCATTGTATCTTGATTCTTCAAGCCTTTCCTGATATTAACATACAATAAAAATTTATTAGAATAAATAAATTAAGTGAAAAACTGACAATTGAACAATTACAGTGTTTCTATGACATTATAAGTTATGCAGTGGACAAATAACATTATAATTATTAATAAAGTAACTAGTAATTGATAATTTTCAATATTAATTAATAAACTGAACAGTCAGTGTGTTAAATTTGCCTATTTAATATTGGTGAATGGAAATATTATCTATTGAATAATATAGTTTATCGTACTTTAATTACACATACTATTGTGATCTGATAAGTAGTTGAAGAATAATAAATGAATAAGTCTTTTCTTATTGATAATCTTCATATTTATTATAATGCTGGTGCTTGTTGTATAAGTCATCATTACTATTTGATAATTTGTGAAGAATATTGGAAGCTCTCATGGGCTGTGTGAATTTACATGAAGACTGTCATTGTATGGTTTTTGGCCTCTTCTAGCCTATCCTGATATTAATATATAATTAAAGTTAATATTAATATTTAATATTAATTATCTAAATAATTAGCTTATTAGAATAACTGATTTGAGTGAAAACTGACAATTAAACAATTATGGTGTTTCTATGACATATAAGTTACGTAGTGAGCAAATAACATTATAATTATTAATAAGTAACTAGTAACTGATAAATTTTCAATATAAACTAATAAACTGAACAGTTAGTGTGTGAATTTCAATATTGGAGAACGGAAATATATCCACTGAATAATTATAGGTTTATAATACTTAAATATATACAATTGATACCTGATAAGTAGTTGAAGAAGAAATCTTTCTTTATTAATGATCTTCATATATTCATTATAATGCTGGTGCCTGTTGTATAAAATCATAGGTATCATCTGATTTTGTGAAGAATATTAGAAACTTTCATCGGACCGTGTGAACTTATATAAAGACTGCCACTGCAGTATGGCTTTGATCCCTTCAAACCTTTTCTGATATTAATAAATAACCAAAAGTCAGAATTAATAATTAATTATATTAATTACTTAAATAATTAGCTTATTAGAATAACTGATCTGAGTGAAAAGCTAATAATTGAACAACTGTATTGTTTTTATGACATTATAAGTAATATAATGGGTGAATAACATTATAATTATTGATAAAATAATTAGTAATTGATAGATTTCAACATTTAACTAATAAACTGAACAGATAGTGGTGTGTGAAATGGTGCCTACTCAATAATGGAGAATGGAAATATTGCCCCTCGATGCAAATGGATCTCACTGAAGACGCTGATGCTGACGATACTGAGTGCTGCTAGCTGGAATACACCTTGGTGGCTCTCTGAGGACTGCCTGGAGTTCAGCCATGGATGCGCAACTCCTGAAAAGTTAAGTGGCATTGATTACGGGTGTTCTCTATGAATTTGACTTTACGTAACATCACATTAGTAAAGTTTTTAAGATTATAACCTAATAAATGAAATATAGGTTGTAATAACCTTAATGACATTTAATTTATATTATAAACAAAGTTAATAAGTGAATTCAATTAGTACGCACACTATAAACTCATAAGCGATAATAGACTACTATGATATCAAATCATATATAAATAAACAATATTAACTACTTACGCTGCATCTTGCTTTGCGAATAATCTTGAGGTATGATCACTTTAGTGTTAGAAAATAGCCGGAATATCATACCCTTGCGTTGAACTTATGATGACTTGTATTTGCCTCCGTGACTTGATGGGATGTGTACTTTAATAGCAAGAAAGTGTTTTAAACATATGCGTTCGATAATAACAACACGAGTATAGTATGCACTTAATTGGCATTGTAATTACAATTATAGAATTTGATACTTGATATTTATATGAGGGTTATAATTATATTAAGAATTACCTTGTAAGTTATTGCATATTCGCATATATTAAATAAGGATAATCAATGTTGGCAGCGTAAACAGATTATTACAGCTTGACTGTGATCTCTATTTAGATATTTCTATTGCGAGTTCAATTATATATAACATCACGTTAAAACCTGTCACCTAATAAAGTGAGGTTGGGATTCACGTAGGATTGTTTTCTTCCTCGTGGATATACTAAAGCAGAGAGAAAGATGAGAGCGGCCAGGCCGGCGTTTGGCTGTACCGTTTTTTACGGACACCAGATTAATAGACAGATCGCCAAAGGTCTGGATGAAGGAGAGACCAGCATTTCTCACTGATTTCAGCGCCATATTGTAGTAGTGGTCAATGCAGTAACTATTAATACGTTCCCAAGATAAGAGCGTCTCATGCTCATGAACTCGTCCGGCGGCATGTACGAGATTTATCTTTTCGTAGCGTTCGCGTATTTCGGAAAGGACAGAATTTTATGATGTTATAAATAAATAAATAAATAAATATTATTAACCTGACCTATTATAATATTTTTTAATAAATGTTTTATTATTATTATCATCTCAGTCTAAGTCGTTTAATTAATTTTTAGTTTTTTATAATTAATTTAATTTATTCTAATCATTTAATATGTGAAAAATACTAATACGTATACGTTTTATAATAAATTAATATATTTCGAGAGTCGAATTATATATTTTTAATAATATAAAAGTGTTCAAAAATTATATTTGACTTTTAATTTTAATTATTTTAGCAAAGAGTTCCGAAATCTCTTACACACATAATAGGGATTTTGTTCATCCATATAATTCGCAATTAAGTATATATGTTAATTATTAATTTAATAAAATACAAAATTAAAATTAAAGGTCAAATATAATTTTTGAACATAAATATATTTAATTTGTTATAAAACGTATACCCGTGATAGTATTTTTCTCGTACAAAAATAACTAGAATAAATTAAATTACTCATAAAAAAATAAAAAAATAATTAAATAATTATATTTATATGATAATAATAAAACATTTATAAAAAAAACAGATTTAATAATATAAGTATATATATAACATGTACTTATATTTATTGAATCTGTTTTTTAATAAAATGTTTTATAAGCTTAGAAAACTTGACTTTGACGTAACTAGCAAATTTATTTAATTATTCACGACGGTTTGACGTAATAAAATGTTTTATTATTATTATATAAAAATAAGTTAAATTCTTTAATTAATTTTTAATCTTTTATGATTAATTTAATTTACTCTAATTATTTTGTACGAGAAAAATACTATCATGGGTATACGTTTTATAATTAATTTAATATATTTATTGTGTTTAAAAAATATTTGACCTTTAATTTTAATTTTTATTTTATTAAAATTAATAATTAACATATATACTTAATTGCGAATTATATGGATGAAAAAATCCCCATTATGTGTGTAAGAGATTTCGGAACTCTTTGCTATAAAATAATTAAAATTAAAAGTCAAATATAATTTTTGAACACTTTTATATTATTAAGAATATATAATTCGATTCCCGAAATATATTAATTCATTATAAAACGTATACGTGATATTATTTTTCTCATATAAAAATGACTAGAATAATTAAATTAATTATTAAAAAACTAAAAGTAATTAAACGACTTAGACTTAGATGATAATAATAATGAAACATTTTATTAAAAAAGATTCAATAACTAGTAGGTCAGGTTATAATTTTTTATTTATTTATTTATAACATTATGAGCTATTAAGCTCATCATCTCGTTCGCTCTCTGTCTTGCTTTCATTCGGCAAGTCACAAACGATATATGATACTCGTATGTTCCTACTTCAACTCTCGAGAATCTGAAACAAACGAAACTCGTGTCCAATATACAGGGTGTCCGGTAACTAACAGACCAATGATTACAAATGGATTCTTTGGTCAATTTGGGAACGATTTTTCCTCAGCAAAAATGTCGAAAAAGGTCATCATTTTTTACAACTTTCCAATCTTTGTCATTATGTATCTTATAACTAAGCCTTAAATTAAAATTTTATTATAGTAAACTCTACCTGAAATTAACTGAAGAATGTAATTATGTTAGACTTTTAACTCCAAACGTTTAGTTTTCAAAAAACCTATTTTTTCAATCGCTTATAACTCGAAAATTATTGACTTCTCAACATTTTTGCTAAGGAAAAATCGTCTCCAAATTAGCCAGAGAATCCGCCCTTAATCATTGGTCCGTTAGTTACCGGACACCTTGTATATATTATATAAAAGTGTATAGCACGTCAGAAGCTTGTGAGCTTACAGCGATAAGTAAAAAACAATTGCGTATTTATTTCATTGCGTTTATCTGTTTAAACGCGCGCTTTAATTTTTCCAACGTTTTGCCTGTTTATATTTTAAAGGTCCTCTCTTCTAAAAATCTTGTTTTAAAGATCCTCTCCGCGAGCAAAATTCGAAAACATAAATTATTTAAATTTAATAAGGAAAACAATTAGATATTTAAAGACAGGCTCGTGTGATATTATAAAATTAAGATTTAGAAAGACAGGGCCAACTATAACGAGCATATTAATAAATAGTGAGAGATGTAATGTCAACACATAATTGATTTATTTCTTAGTAGATACAATGATAATAAAAATAATAAAACGTTTCGGCTGTTACCTCAGCCTTCTTCAGTAAATATAAAAACAATAAAATTCTCTAAGAAAATTATTGACATATTACGCATTAGAGTCTATTTTTTAATGAACATTTTGGTTTAATAAGTCGATGAATTTAAATTGGGTTACGCTTATAACATTTATTAAATTAGATATTTTTTCTAATCGGCTAACCATTTTTAGTTAAGATGGTAAACTTTTGATTATGTCAAAAACATGTAAACGAGTTCCCTGTTGTTAGTAGAACAGGTTGACGGCCCATTCCACGTCATCAATTCTTTTGAACATTATTAGTTAAAATTATCGTCAGAACCGCTTTGATATGAGAATTGAAAACAATTAGATGTTATCCAGCATCAAAAAGTTAGTCCCCATCATCAAGGATATTTCCGAGTAAGTTCGTCATTGCAGTATATTTCACCGTGATTGTCTAAGTATATTTTTATTTTTTTGGTATATTAATTTATATTAATAAGTTATTTTTTTTATGTGAAAGATCTTAATTGTGTTTAGAATTGCTTACTTAATTGATGAGTAGTCAAGATTCCGCCAAGTTGATGTGTTCACTATACAAAGTCACATAAATTATTTAATATTTTTACTTTATTATTTGTAAATCCTCGGTATTTCAAAATTTTCTATTTGAAAATTATTAATTTTCTATTGCCAATTAATTGTATCACAGACTTTACTCTTACTCCCATTGCACTTTCGTTTGCGGTTTTCAGTATACGATTTTTTATCGTAGTTACTGAAAATTATTATTGTGAATTATACTTGTGCAGTGATTTGAAGAATTTACAATTTCGTTTTAATGTTGATTTTTCAAAAAATTACGAGATTCGCGGAAATTGCGTGCTTTCTTGGCATTTTCCGTTCGCGGCAGGCGGTTTATTTTTGATTGTTGCAAGTGTTTTTGTTTTCTTTTTATTAAAATAGATAATAATAATGTGAAATAAATCACGATATTTGACAGATGTGCATATATATAGAATTGTAATAATAATAATATTATATCATAAAATTGTAAATTGTTTCAATTTTTTATAGACTGCGATAAAAGATTTTACATTTGGATAAGAAACTGCGGTAAGTAAAAATATAAAATTCTTGAAAACGTAAAAATATTTGATAACGTAAAAAGGTGAACTTTGAAAAATAAGAAACTTAAAAATTGCACTAATAAATGGGTTATATATATGTGAGCCGTGCGCGGATGTAAGGTGTGTTATATCGAAATTTAATTAATAGAATTGAGAATTAATCCCAATTTTAAGTCTTACAAATGTCCAAGCTATTTTTTGTACCTCGTGTACATTTTTGAAAGTTATATCGAAAAATTAAATTTTAATATGCGTCTTACATCTCACATTTCGCATACGGCTCACATATAGCCTATTTATCTCTTATACTTTATTTCAACCCTTATAGAAATTTATTACTAGTAACGCCAATTTATTACTTATTTCGAGTAATAATCACTTTTTATTTCGAATACTTAAATTACTATATATAGTATTTTAAATACTCAAAATAAGTGATTAATTGGCGTAGTGATAAATTTCTACAAGAGATAAGGAGCCTTTAAATTCTTAATGTAAAAAATTTCAAGTAATTTTCTTTAATAAATTTAATTAAAAAATTAATTAAAAATTTTTGAACACTGTGTTATATCACATTTAAAATCGTGATTATTT